GGAAGAAAGGAGGAAGAAGGGGGGAAGGACAGGGGGAGGGACAGAAGGAGAGAGGGAAGAAGAGAAGGAGGGAGGGAATGAGAGAAGAAGGGAGGGAAGAAAGGAATATTCCTTTATTTCATGTTATTCGCCACTACAATTTGAGAAATGGGAAATTAACAAAATGAATAAAATATATCTATTGCGGGTCCAAGCATCTGCAGCCTATTACAAAGCCTTGCCACAGCAATATTTATTCTTTTCCTCTCTGAGTTCTCTCGTTTCAGCTTTTGTCTTCTCTCTCCCATCCAGTCTGTATTCTCATGCTTGTCCCGATAATTAGAGGCGAAACGAAATTATCACCCAGCAAAGGGTGTACCAATATGTGTGCAAAATTGATCTGGGAAAACCAGTAAGACATAAAATAAAAATAAAAAATAAATCCCAAACAGGTTTTTTATTTAACATAAGGCCAAAGAAGCTATCAGGCGTTGCTGAATACTGTCCACTAACTGTACAAAATATTGACTGCATGCCTCGCAAACACCAAAATATCCGCTGGAATGCCATAGAAATAAATAACTTCTGCTATAAACACATGAAAACATATCAAACTGTTATCTCTTTAAACATATTGTAAATAAAAAAATTACCAGTACTTCTACACAATAAATATTAAGAAACCATTGACATAGTTGAAATGCACTCATATAAATTAACAACTTTAATTACATTAGCCAAACAGACGTCGGTTAAAGAACTGCATGTAGTATGCCAAAAAAAAAAATAATAATAATAAAAATAAAAAAATAAAAACAAACAAACAAACAAACAACATCAACCACAGAACATAAAAAGTTTTAAAACAAAACAGGCTTCAGATTATCTTGGCTTTCATAATTATATTTTTCTTTTAAAGAAAAATATCAACCCATTGTCAATGCACTGTTTTTCAAAGCATTTAAATAGAGGGTAAAACTCATTGGAAATTAATACAGAAGAAATGATTCACTTTATGCATAAAAAATAAATAATGTAGCTGAGACATGTGGTTTGCTTCTGCTCTTGAAGATGTGAACAGCTTCTAAGCATTCATTTTCTCTGACCCATACAACAGCTTCTCAGTGATAAAGGGTTTAATTTAAACACACACAATGTCCACCCCCAAACCTTCTGCCCACATCTACAAGTTCCAATTTATTGTGTAGGGTTTCAGGGTGACTAAGTTCTTCTCTACACTGAAAAGGGAAGTTGCCAAAAGGCCCCCAGGAAATCATTTTTTTCAAGTGAACATAATAATTTGAATCTAAGCTTAATACAACTGAGGCATTTGTGTTCTCTGTTTTATAAAGTTACTTTTTGAGGTCCAATCCCATGGGGGGTGAAAAACAAAATTCACTTGCTCTTCCTTAGAGGAGAATGCAGGCATTCTCCTTGAAAACAAAGTGTGGAATCAATCTTAAATATCTATGAAATTGATTGGTCTTTAGGAACAAGAAAATCCCAACTCAGTGTGCTGGAATTTGCCATGCTTTTTTTGAAAAAAATAAAAAGAAAGAAGGAAGGAAAGAAGGAAAGAGAAAGGAAGAAAGAAAAGAAAGAAAGAAAGAGAGAGAGAGAGAGAAAGAAAAAAAAAAAGAATCCAAACTACCAAATATTTAACATTCTCAAAAAATACTTGGGGACAAATACTTTTCAGAGCTTTTAAGATTGGTATGAGTAGGTTTTTAAGAGCCTAGAGATCAGCCCTAGAGAAAGAGTAGAGAGATGCTAAGATCAGATAGAGCCACCCTGTTTTAAGGAAAACCTACTGTGAGGAACCCAATATGGTAGAATTTAAAAGCTTTTTCTTTTGGCCTCGTGCTGCTACATGAAAAGTGTGGTTGTTTACAAACCTGCATATCTTCCAAGATTATTAAAGATAGCAGCAATTTATAATTCTAGTTCAAGGCCACATAAATTTAATGAAATAATGTCAAAGTTTGGGGACGTTTGGCAATCTAATCATTTAATTTCAATTAACACATCCCATTAAAATATTGTCGTATGGAATTTCATTTTGCTCCACTTCCAATCACTATGGCCACCAATCAAACTCCTTCTTATCCCCACTGTGTGGAGCACTCTTTTAAACAAGATGGCGCACACACTTGAGATGAATGGGAGCCACAAACAGGTATCAGCTGTCTTTCAAGCATCGTGCTTTTCCCACTGCCCTGGCCATCTCTGCTAGTACACTGTGAACTAGGACTTGGCTCCCCACACTATTTTCATGGGTTCCATTATTAGTGCCACTACCAAATAAGAAGCAGTCCTAAAGGCCCTTTAAGTTTTTCATGCAAATTCCTAAAGTTGAACATCGCCATCCCCCTCTCTTTGAAACTTCCCTCACCATTGCCCACCTTCCCCACCTGAATGATTTCCTGGTCAATGGTTAAGAGTGAGGAAGCAAGTACCAACTTTGCACGCTCTCCCTCTTAAATTTAGAGTCCACTCTCATGGAGTACATGTTGTATTTCGGCATAAGAAAGGGTGGACCTCAAGATGTAGTAAGTATATCTACCCAGTAACAACATTAAAATAATTTACCTACATACAGCCTAGTGTTATAGTACACCAATTTAGTATATATATTTCAAGAAGAGCTAAACCACCTTTAGTAATGTTTGGTTTCTCACTATTTTATTTTCCTACAGCTAATTTTTTTTAAAAAATCTATGAATTGACATAGGGCTGAAAGCTTCAGCATTTTACAAAATACTAATGAATGCAATTTTTCCAAATTATTAGTATTTTTTTCAATTTTTGCAAACTTCAAACAAGTCAGTAAAAATAAGGCTCTGTATTTTTAAAAGCATATAAATGAATAACTTATTAGCTATTCTAGGCAAGCTAAATACTGTGGAATAAATTAGTAGAAATTTAGCTTTAAGCATGTACTTTGATATTTATAAAACAAAGTGTTTTTTTTTCTTTTTTGCATCTGAGTCAATACATACAAACTTATATATCAAGAGTTTTGGCTGTAAATTAAAATATTAGGGATTTTTGCCACTGATGCCACCCTGCAGTTCTTTCTTCTTCTCAATCTCTTAAGACCTTCCCCCCAAGTTATTTATCTTTTAATTAGTGACAACAACATTATTTAGCCCAGCCAGTCATATTTCTCAGAATTAGGCCTTAATCATCAAAAAAAAAAAAAGTACCCAACTCTTATTTTGGCCTAAAGATGAATTTTTTTTTCTTTCTGAAAAAGCTTTCTGATTTAAGATTGATTCCAATAGATAATAAATATGTCACAACACACACAAAAAAAATCAGCCTAGAACCTTGAAGAACATGAGTTTCCTGTTTTCCCTGCAGGGAATACCTGGTGGGATAGAGGTGGGGGGGGTTGGGGGGGGTCAAGAAAGAGGACGGAGCTGGGTCCCTGCACAATGAAAGAGGGTCTTGATGAATAGTCACTGGAGTTTCCAGGCTTCTTCCCATCCACATTTTTTGAAATGTGCCCACCTAGTTCGGAGGAAAAGCAAAAACTATAGCCTATCCTTCTTAAAAATACTGTGTTTTGCACACAAACATTCATTGCTTTAAGAACATTACAAAATGACAGCCTGACGTGCTTAAAATGTGCATGGGCATGATGCGATCCATGTATATATACACACAGGTATGCATATGCACAAGCCATGTACATATACACAGACAAGCATGTAGTGTTCTATGATAGCTAACAGTGTACAACTACTGTACATCCAGTATGAAATGTCCCGCTTCATGGATGTCAAAGGAGTCAAAAACCAAACTTCTCAGGTCTTTTCAGCCTGAACACAATCCACCCTCCTCCGCCTTGAATCCCAACCCCTGACTCACTGATGGTGAATGATACCAACCACAGACAGACTGTTTTAAAGGCTCACACAAATGTCTTTGGTGTATGTGTCTATTTTTTAAGGTACAAAATAATAATAATAATTATAATTATAATAATAAAAATAGCTATTTTGTGTGCTGTAGCAGTTCTCTTATAGCTCACATTAAGTGCAGCTCTTAAACCCCCCCACCCCCACCCAAAGAAAATACTTGTTAAATAAGGATTAGACAGGTCAAACACCATTGTAGTGCAAATAGTAAACGATAAAAAAAAAACAACATTTACAAAATATAGAAATGTTTGGATCCAACAGATGGACAAACATATTCCTTTCAAGTATCTCTCCTTGAAGAAAATAAAAATTAATCAGGTTACTTCCAATACAAAAAAGTCTCTCATTTTGTTCTCTCTCAGGTAAACAGTTTCAAACCTATTAGGTTGCATAGTACTAAGATCATAAGCACCTTAACGAAATGTAACTTGGTATTCTTTGTTCCTTGATTTTGCTCTCTTCCCATTCTTGTTCTCAAATTTTTGTTTTGTTTTGTTTTGTTTTTAGGTTGTTTTTTTGTTTTGTTTTGCTTTGTTGCAAAACTGGTACAGAAAAAGAAGTGTGACCACCTGCACACTATTGTTCCCTTACCAGTATGTGTATGCATGTGTCATGTGGAAATGCCTCTGTGTGTGTGTGTGTGTGTGTGTGTGTGTGTGTGTCTGTGTGCGTGTGCGCACGGGCTGATATACACAGAGAGAGGGTCACACAGACATACCTTACAACCTGGGTAACTGGGTGGGAAAGTGCCTGTAACTGGCTCTTTCAAACTCATGGCTTTCTAGATGCTATTTGGGTTGTGCCAGCCCACGTTATTGCAGACTAGACAAGTCGACTTCGAGGCTCACACTGAAAAGGGGACTGAAAAGGAGGGGACAATACTCCCGTGTAAGCAACTGATGTCATCACCTTGATATCAGAAGAAATGAAGGGGGTGCTGTTCTCCCTCTCCCTCCCAATTCCCATCTTGTTCACTGCTTCATCTCTGAGCCCTGGCTAAGGAATTTTTCCACATCTTCCTTCATCTGTTTCAGGTTTTGTTTTTAGTTTATTTTTTTTTTTAATTTCTATTTTTTTTTTTTTTCTGCTTGTTTAACTCAGAAACCTTAAACATTTCTTCATTTTGCCACTGTCTTCTCTGGACAACTCTGGCTCCCGTCCCCCCTGGGCGGGGCGCTCTATGAGCACCCACACTCCTCCACTATCATGTTCTGAATGTCCTTCTTGATGATGTTCTGCCCATCATCATAGTACAGCATGGACATGGGTCTCAGCTTGGTGGGCACACAGCACGACTTGAGGTTGGCGAAGGGGCTGTGCCCCCGCATGCGGTAGTGGTTGATGACCGTCGAGTGGAAGGAGAGCGAGGACCCCGACGTGCCTGCTATGTGGCTCGGGCACTCACCCTCGCAGTAGTTGGCGTGATAGCCGGAGGGAGCGATGATCCAGTCGTTCCAGCCGATGTCCTTGAAACTGACGAAGAACTGTTTCTTACAGCAGATGTTGACCTTGCCGTCGCACTCCAAGCCCCGCCGCCGTCGCCGATGAGGGTGGTCTTCGGACTGGCGGGCCTGCAGCATGAGGAAAGGTCTGTGGGACTGCTCCTTGTCCTCCTCCCCCCCTGCCCCTCCGTCTCCTCCGGTCTTCTTCCCTTCCCCCTCCTCCTCCTTCTTCTTCTTCTTGCCCAGGAGCACCAGGCTGGCGCCGGTCTCGTGGCACTGCTCACAGGCAATCCGAACGTCCAGGGAGCTCTTGCCCTGGTCCAGCAACCGCTGGATGCTGCTGGACACCGGGAAGATGTGCCAGGTGCTCTTGCTCGCATCCACCACCTTTTCCGATATCAACACTTCGTTCCTTTCCTTCGTGAAGCCCCTCTCCTCGGCCTCCTCCCCTGCGTCTCCGCTGCCCTGGGGCTGCTTCTGCAAGAGCTGGATGGTGACTTTGGTCCTGGTCCTATTGGCCTTGGGGACTTTGAGGAAGAGCCAGACTTCGGCCCGCTCCACCACCGACAGGTCACTGCCTTCTTTGGAAATCTCAAAGTGCAGCGTTTTCCTGGCAGTGCCTGCAGACGAAACACAGCGCGAGAGAGAGAGAGAGAGAGCAGGGACACTCGTTAGTTGTGCTGGGGGTCACCACCCACTCGTTTCAGGCACGCGCGGCGCCTCTGCCGCGGGCCAGCGGCGGCAGGGGTCAGCGAGTTACGGCCCGCGGGCGGGCAGGGCCGTGTGGACATTTTTAAATGGTCGCAGAAAAAGAGTATTTTTGTGACATGTGAAAATTATAGGAAATTTACACTTCAGTGCCCATAAATGAAGTTTTATGGGACCACAGTTATGCTCATTTCTTTCTAGGTCGTCTATGGCTGCTTTTGCATTAGATCGTGGAGTTGGATAGCCACGACAGAGACAGGCCCACAAAGCTTAAAATGTTTGCTCTCCAGCCCTTTCCGGAGAAAATCTGTCAACTCCTGGCTCTAAAAAGAAGAGAGCCTAGATCTCAGTCAGTGTCCGGGAGGCTGGGGCGGCGGGGGTGGGGGGGGGCAGTCTGCGTCTGTTCACTGCTTAACCTCAGTTTCATCTTCTATAAAATGGGAATGGCATAATGACATTGGACCCACTCAACTGTAGGCTTGGCCTAACCCGGATGAAAACCCACTGTGAGCTCTAGCAAGTTGTGAAAGTGGTGCTATTCCCACAGAAATACACAGAAACCCCCCTCCCCCATGTAAGTACGTGGGGCCAGTGCCCACCGAGCTAGCCTCCTCCTCCCTGGCCACGACCTTCCCCACCCCTCCATCTGTTCTTTCCTGGGTCGCTGCAACAGCTTTTTCTTGCATTTGGCTCTCCAGCATGGAGCCAGGCCCCTCTCCAATCATTGCTCCACTAAGCAAGTATAAAACAGAAACGACCCATCCTCCACAGCTTCACCTTCAACTCCAGCTCTCTCCCAGTGCCCCGTCCTCTGTGGTGCGGCCACAGGGTGTTTGTTCGAGGTCAGGTGCATCCCATACACTCTCTCACCTCCAGGCGGTGACCCCTGCCTAGAATATTCCTGCTCCCAACACATCACCCTCAGTGGCTGCCCTTGATAAGGGTTCAGTTCCTGACCCCCTTGCCCCCCCCGTCAGTCTGATTTTGGATGCCCCCAGTCTGAGACAACTAGACAGTCTGAGATCCTATCTATCTCATTCACTGTCATGGCCCAGTGTTTACCAGGAACGAGGCAATCACATCTTTAGCATCCAGTCAAGTTACATTAAGCGATCCACTTCCCACTGCTGCGTCCCCCGTTTTTGCCTCCTTCCCTTCTGAATGCAGCTTAATGAGCCCCAATTACAGCAACTGCTACTAACGGAAAGGAAATCCCCACACTGGCGACAGTTGGATTCAGAGACCATTCAGTTCTTGCCTAACTTAAACCGTTCCCTTCTCTTTTTCCATAAGCACCTGTATGTCTATACATGCGGCAACGATTACTGTAAGGAGCAGGTGTCTGGACTGGAATTCTCTGATTGAGGAAATATCGTCCCTCGGTTGCACTTTCACCACTCGGTGGTCTATGAAACATGTGCTCTTTGCCCAATCGCCTCCTGCGTGCGTGTACCCGCTTACCACTGTCCAGTGTGCGCACATTCCGTACACAAATCTGAGAACAATGTTAGGGAAGGTCATCCTAGAACTCGCAACTCCCTAGGAGGGTCTCCCTGCCTGGATTTCTATAGCAAACGGAAATCCAGCCATACTTATCACTCTCAGCCCTGAGATGTTTACGGTACTATAAATTTTCGGCACAGTTTCAAGTTCTCTGCAGCAGAAGGCAGGCTTTTCTGTGCATTGCACACTGTAGATTCTGTTCTTAATTTAACACACTCTGCACACTGTGATTCTGATAGTGGTAAATTCACTGAGGCCAGGGCTAGGAAAGGCTACATATGTATACAAAAGATTCTCTGGCATCTTGGTGTAAAGTTGCTAGCACGCTGGGCTGGGCTGGGCTCGGTGGTGGTGGTGGTGTGGGGGGGGGGGGGGGGGTCCTTTTCCTCCAGCCTTGGGTCTCCGACAGGAGTTAAAATGAATGATAAAGCTAGGTTTAGAATTAGATCACCAGAGTAGAGAGCAGTTAGAAGAAGGGGAGACTGTCTTTTTTTAGGGAGCATGATTTCTTTTCAAAACATGAATGCTTTTGTATTCCCCTTTGCTAAAACCTGGTGGGTTTTCTGTTGCTGGTTTTTGTCGGGGCGGGGGGGGGGGAGTGGGGGGAGTTGGAAAGCCAAAGAGAAGATTCCAGAAAGGAGTTCTTAATGATTTAAATTTAAAAAGACACACTCTGCAGCAGATTTGAAGTGGTAGGGTCTTTCCGGAAGCTACCCAAGCCCCCACCCCCACCCCAGGAGTGTGCAGGCACCTCCTACCCTGCCCCGCAGAGAACAGTAACAAGCTACCTGCTGTTCTCCCTTCTGCCTCTACGCAGGCCAGCTTCTGAAACCTTAAACTGTGCAGGGTGCCACTGAAAGGAAAGAGAGATAGTAGTTGCTAAATTAGAGAAGCCAGAGGGCACAAGGTTGTGTTTTGTTTTTCTAGGAAAGAGTGTGAAACTGGAGAATCTGACTCGTCCTCAGGATGGGAAAGCTCTCTGGGTTTCAGGTAACTCATTCCCACAGGCTCCTCTGGGCTTTTACCCAGGCTTGGCAGGAGGGGCCGGGGTGAAGGCAGACAGACGGTCCTTCCGTAAAGAGAGGGTCCGGATGGCAGTGCAGACCAGCCCACTTCGGACTTTCCGTGAAGAGAGTCCAGAGCAGTCTACAGATGCTGGGAGTGGGGGCGGGAGTCAGGGTGGGCTAACTGGCCGACTTGACACAAGGAGTGAGGGACAGCACATGTAAATTGCTTTTGTAGGGCCAGGTGGGGCTGAGGTCCCTTGCTTCCAGCAACAGCCTACAGGACAGCCTCTCATTCCACAAGAGCAGGTTTCTAAGGCATGATAAAGCCCCACCCTTCTTCACAGGCAGCTGTACTTGGAAGCAAATGATTTAGTGTTCCTGAGAGAGGATCGTACAAAGAGAGTACTCATTAGAGGGGGCTCAGTCTGTCAGGTGCTGTTATATTAGGATCAGAGAGGCATCATAAAATGACTTTCAACCTGGTCCTGGCTGATAATTAACTGTATGGCATCGCCTGCGTATTGTGGAGAAGGCACAACGCTGACTTATGCATCGGTTTAATTATCTGAGCTTGAAAGACTCTGGTCCCTGTATTCGCCTCCATTGCCTGCGTGCTGTATCTCTCCCCCATATTTCTGACATTTGGATTTTCCCCCTGCTAATTGACATGCTGTCGCCTCCTTCTCCTGGTGTCCATTTCTGGAACTGCTATTTGTATATTGCATGATATTTTATCAGGGAAAAAAATAAAACAGATCCAATTTCATGAAAATGCTGTTGCCATAAAGCTCAGGAGACCAGGGGGAAGAGAGAGATGCAAGTCTTCCTAATGTCTACCTTATATGCAGGTACATTTTAAAAGTTCTATTGTATTTGACTTATTAAGCAGTGCAATATTTTTTTTTCCTTTTACATTTAGCTTTCATTGCAGAAGGGGGTGGAGAGAATGAGACAGCTAGAAGCTGAGATGATTAATATTTATCAGGGCTGTAGGTTTCAGAAAGATATTACAACCCTCAAATTTCTTAGGTATGAAAAATAGAACCAGTCACTTGATTCTATTCCCTTTATCTGTATTTTACCTAAGAGAGATTGTTATACCACAGCGATGCTGTGAGGATGCTCCAGCCTTCAAATCTCTGAGCATAACAATTTGAAAAATGGAAGGAGGTTGCCTGAGGCTGAGGTGTTTAGGATCAATTACTAATCAGTTTCAGGTTTGACTTAACTAGCTCCTGCATCAAATCCTGAAATGGAAGCCTTCCCACAATGCTTTGTGAGCAGGTACAGTATTACTTTATACAGGTGCGCACTGGGTTCCTGCATTATTACCTATCTACCTAGATATAGCTGCTGGCTTTGCTAACCTTTCATTACCTACTCTCTGATAATATTCTTTTCATCCTCTGTGCTATTTTTTCCCTCCCGAGGCTCGTGAGCAAGGCTTGTATCACAGCCTGCTCTGCCTGAGTAATTCACTAAGAAAGTCCCACGCAAACCCATGTGGGTGATAATATTTCATCACTTAAACCTCTATGAGTCCGGTGGACACAAAATCAAGGGGAAGGAGAAAGATGCATAAAAATGAGTAGGAGGGATAAAAATGGCACCTTACAGGGAAGACCTTTGAAACGTTGCTGGGCAGGGGGAGCTTGGACAGAGGGAAGGCCGGAAGCTGGAAGGAAGAATACTCCAAAGCACCTTTTTCCTTTGCTTTCAGAGATTTTCAAATGTTTTTAATAACTCAATCATGAAAGCAGGCCTGCCAAGGGTTAAGCAACCAAGCCCCTTGCTGTTCCCATCCCCCACACCAGGACTCAAAATTCTCTCCTTCAAGCCCTGCACCTCAGATCTGTGGGCGTATGAACATTTCCAGAGAAATAAGCAACACGCGCACGCGCGCGCGCGCGCACACACACACACACACACGCAGTGTTTCGTTTGTGTTCCGTTTTGTTTTCCTCACCAGGGTCCTGCCTAAAGCATGCTGCGCTTGTACATATGGGTAATAATTATGTCTCTAATGTGAATGTCGAAAATCTTGTTGTTTATAGAGGATTTTAACTCGCCATAGGGGAAAAGCCTTGTGGTAAAATGCGGCTGTTACTTGAATTTTCCATTCTGCACCCAGATTTCACTGTGCCTAGATTAGGTGCAGTCACTGGTAGGAGCATAGGGGGTGACCAGGTACGCATGTGTGTTCTCTGAAGCACTAACTTTGCATTTGGACTGTTTCCAGGGGTTTCTGCAGAAGGCATCAGGTGAGATCTTAGAGGTTATGCTTCCCTTCACCTACAGTCCAAGGTTTTGCCTGTAGCAGGCAGAACTACAAGTCTGGTCATAAATTATCTGGATTGATTTTGTTAGCCTTCATATTTTTTTTCTTAGGCTCTGCTATTGAATTGTAAATGCTCGGCCACATTCGGGTGTCTTCCGTTTCAATGATGGTGAAATAGAGAGAGAGAGAGAGAGAGAGATCAAGGATTTAGGTTCCGAAAAGAAGTAGAAAAAATTCTTAAGATTCAACCCACAGAAATTTCAGAGACTTCTTCCAAAGTTCCTGAGAACTTTTGTACTTTTGATTTTGGATCTAGGAACCAGTGGAGTATGAGGAATTCTGATCTACAGCTCACGCTCGAGTATATTGTAGCCGAAGAGGGGCCAAGACAAATACGTGTTTTCCCTAAAAGTGCCTGGGAAGGTATGACTCCCAGTTCTCCAAATACGAAAGCGGACTTTCTGCCCTCTGAGGGCCCCCCCCCAACTCTGACCCACCTACGTCACAGGCCCAAACCACTAGGCATCTCGCTTCTTGTCTCTCCTCCCCCATTTGGCTCCACACTCAGCTCGGAAACAAACGCATGCTCCGAAGCTGTACCCAATTTCTCACAAGGTGGCCAGCAAACGGCCCTTTCCTCCCTGTTGGAAGTCACTTGTCATTTGTCGCTGGTGAAAAGCATTGATAAGACAGGCAAACCAGGCAACGAAATGAGGGGAGATGGAAGGCGTTTTGGTAAAATCCAGGCAGCCAGCCGTCTTAGGGAGAGATGTGTGAGCAGATCAGTACTGCTGATGATTCATGGTCACATTTCTCCACGCTCTGCTTTGTTTGCTTCTGAAATTTATCATTCCTCTGCCTTCCATAGAGCTCCGGAATGTTCACATGTATCACTAGAATCCCCATTTCCTTTCCTTGTCACATTTATTGTGTCACAGGTAGTCATGTTTCTCCCATCCCATAAAATCCTAACTTTTTCTGGAGGATGAGAGGAAGCAGGGGGCAACTGATAAGCACCAAGATTTGGGCGCTACAGAATGGGGCTTCCAGGAGCTGAAAATGCCCTTCCCTAGATTAACTGCTAAGGAGCAAAAGTCTTTGGAATGCGCCCTCTTGTGGCCGACTGCTTCGCATTATTCAGAGAAGAAAGTGTGTAACCCCTAAAAGCACCCTTCCGTGAGGGGTAATTCTCAGGAAAGTTCCTTGGGCTGGTATGGAATCGGTGGGAGTCACCTCCACCTTGAGATGGCTTTCTTGGGCTGGGGGGAAAACAGTCATCCAAGCAAGCCTTCTTAGACCCCTGCTTGTGAAGTGTATATGTCTAATTCAACTCTTCTGTAACCGGAATCCTCCAAGAGGGGGAGATTTATGTGTTACTTTCAACAACACCTGGGCTTTAGTGAGCAATTTCCCATTTCCTGGAGCTTCATTTGTCTTTCTGCCCCTATCTGTTCTTCCACAAGTGCTATCGATTGCTAAGTTGATGACGATAATCAGCATATACATCTGGTTGCATATGGAGACTCAGTGATATGCTGTTATTGTACACTGACCAGATATTGTCATGGATCACAGCAAGATAAAATAAGATAGAACCATCAAGAGGGCCACTGATTGTAGCTCTACGGACAATTACACAGAGACCTGACTTGACCCTCCCCATCCATCCCTTCTTTAAGGTCTTAAGGTAGCATTCTGTACCAGCTGTCCGGCTATAAACTTGGTGAGCAATCTTGGGTGACATGCGTTAAAAAGCATAATTTTTATTTGTTGGGAGAAATTTCAGAGGGCCCGAGTGCAATTCCTCACCACTTAGTTAATAACAACTTGTATCAGCTTTACAAAGATGGGGCACCTTCCACCTGAGCCCAAATGGGACAAACTCAGTTCCGAGAGTTCTAGACACTTGAACTTTTTGTAGTCCCTCAGCTCCTGGGCCACAGCATGGGTTTTATTTAACCGTCAAGAAGGGTCGAGGCAAAAATTAAACATGAATCCCCCCAACTGGGGAATCTTAAGTTTGAAAGATACATCTACGGGGATGCATCTGTGGTATGGGCCTCGGTGACAGTGACTCACTGGATTCCATGCAGTACAAAATAGTTTGGGAAGGAAAGAAAGATGAATACCCTCCGCTCTTCTCCAAATTCTTACATTTGACATAGTTTGAATATTATTAAGGTTGAGTTATTCCAAAAGCAACAAGACATTTTTGTATATTCAGAGGATAAAGCCCTTTCCTGGTTGGCAAAATCAGCTACAAAATACTCATCTGGTACTCCACTTGGAGAGTAGATTGTCCAGATAGCAATCATTAATTCCGCGAAATCACAGTAAATCAACTTGAAGTGTGAAACTTCTCAGAGGAGAAAAATAAGTAAGTGTGTCATAAACCTTTTCTGTGACTCCAACAGCTCACCCAAAGTCAAGTTGTAAACTCAACCAGGAGGAGTTTTCCATTACAAACCTTAAACTGGAGTCAACGTGTGAGTCAAATGAATCACCTTTTAAAAAAGTCACTCAATTTCTTTTAAACTAAACACCTAACAGAAAAGTAAAAAAAAAAAAAAAAAGACAAGATTTCATATAAATGAGAAAAAGACGGCCACTAAGATGAAGGCCATAAGTAAGAAAGAATGTAAAAGGTCAAATTCTTTCACTGCAAAACCTCTCAATGCCAAGAGCGTGATTTGCTAGACAAGTCAGCTAGGTCAGGAAGAGAGGCTGTTGCTTACATCAGGTGTATATTAAAAGTGGTCACAGGCATAGGTATACTTAGTCATCTGACGCGGGTAAGGCCAATTGAGTAGGACCTGCAATTAAAGCCATCATGTGTGGTAATTGGTATATAAAAACCAATACAGGGTCCCTTTGCACAGGGAGCAGACAGACCTCTAGACCACTGGAACCCATTGCCCTCCCCTGGACTCAATGTCAGTAAGCACTTTCTTTCCTACGAGTGGCAAGGTGAAACCGCCAACATGACTTTGTTTCCTCAAGAAGCTTCAAAAGATAAAGTCATAATGATCATGTCCTTTGGGGGCTGCGTCAAGAAAGAGCTTAGAGAAAGAAAGACCTTCTTTGAAAAGAAGCTTCTGGTGAGAGAGAGAGAGAGAGAGAGAGAGAGAGAGAGAGAGAGACTGTCCTGCCGGCAAGCTTGTAGGACGTCAGGGCTTCTCTCACCAGGGAAGCCGGGAAGCCAGCAGGCTATCTGCTCCCCCAAAAGGATGCCCAGGTCTGGCATGGTTTTCTTGAAAACAGAACATCTGAGTCAACAGGTTTTCAGGATTGGAAATTCTGAGTGTTGCCTTAATTGTTTATACTGCTGCGGCAAACTTTTAAACAGAAATGCTGGGAGTCCCTGCACGTACTTTACTGGCCATATGCTCCACCAAACAAAACAATGGCATTCCTTTCAAATGGATCTGGCAAGGGATACAATTCTTTAGGCTGGCATTACCATGAAAGTAACAGGGCATTAACACATCTGTGTGCCGGGCGTGCATGGGCTTGCAGCATGCGAAGGGTCTGTGTCCCATAACTGTAAAAATAACCTGGCTCCAGGTCTATGGCCACACTCCTGACAGGTATTTTTCTATTCAGCAACAGGTTAGTGTGGTCCTGAGCCAATGATTAGAATCTATCAAAGTTCTTCCTCTTAAGGATTGAGTGAGAGTTCAGTGTAGTATTTGAGAGCACTTTGTCAAGGTTGCATTCCTTGGCAGAGAGCTCTTAGTAACTTTGCAGAGAACAAAACTCTTTTTTTTTGTTGTTGTTGTTGAGAGAGCAAAAGTCAGTGTTCCAAAAGTGACTGCTGGTTCAATGTCAACTGTCCCCCAAAGTCCCTCTTTACTGCCTAGAATGTGATGCCTGTGCTCTTAGAAGACAGAGTTTCTGAAGGTAAAAAGGACTGTCACTAATAAGTATGCCCTGCTTCTCTGGTGTGGCCCCTGACTGGACTTTTAAAGGGAAGGTTTGTTTTAAGACAATGACTTCATCTGTGCCGGTCCACCCCGACCCCACACTCCACGCCTCCCCCCATAAAAACTTTGGATGGGGGCTCCGGAAGCCTCCTGGGCTCCCCCAGCACCCGAAAATGCCCTGGCTTTCCTCGGGGCTGTGGGGATCTGGTTTCAGAGGCAGGACGAGGGAACCTCTCACAGCCCGGCTTCCAGCTCCAGATTGGCCCTTGGAGCTTCCTCCGGGGTGACCGGCTGAGTTGGGCAAGTGTGAGCGAGCCATCTCCAGCCAGGGCTCAACCTATAATTCCGTTTCTGTGAAGTCCTCTCCCCCCCCCCCCCCCCCCCTGCCTCCCCTCCGGCCGCCACCGGTGCCCAATACCGAATGACCTCCACCACCACCCCCTCCCGCCCCCGGCGGCGCCCCGCGGCTGGGGGCTAGAAGTTCGTCCCCGGACGGTCAGAGCCACGCCGCCCCCACCCCCAAATGCCCCGCACAGACCTGCTTCTGCGAACGTGATGATCTCCGAGGTCTGCTCCATGAGTTCATTCATTTCTGCCCTCCTGCCGATGTCATCCTCTATCTCTACGTACCCGTTCTCCCCCACTTTGCCCACATGAAGCTTTCGGATAGCGTTCAGAAGCGCCGCCTTGGGCACCGGCTGGGTGACTTCGGGTCTCTTCTTCAAGTGCAGCATGTTTAAAATGTGCTTCTTGACGGCCTCCACCATCTCCGGCTGAGAGTTGGGTACATCCTTTGGGAGGGTGGCCAGCGCACAGGACGGGCAGTCGGGGGCTGCGCCGTGCCCCTCGGATCCTGGGGTGGGGGAACTCCTCACTATAATCCAGCAACTCGCCAACAGAAATCCTCTCAGCCAAAGCAAGGGCATCCTGGCAGCAAAAGTTGTTGTGATTGCCTTTTTTTAAAAGGCCCTGCTTTTCCTCCCCCCTCACGCACAGGTTTTTTTTTTTTTTTCCTTTCTTTTTTTTCTTTTTTTTTTTTTTTCTTCTCCTCTTCAGCAAATTCTCTGGAACAAGAACAAAAAGTTTTCTGTGAAGTTTTGTTTGCAGGTTCCCTCTCTGAAGGCAGTCAGTGCTGTAGGTTTGTGGTTGTCAGGGAGGAGAGTTCTGACTGTCTCCGAGTAAGAGAGAAGGAGGGAGGGAGGGAGGGAGAGAGGGAGGGAGGGAGGGAGAGACAGGGTGGGGGGGGAGACAGACAGAGACAGAGAGAGGATGGGAGGGAGAGAGACAGGGAGAGAGGGAGAGAGAGGAGAGAAGGGGGAGAGGGAGAGAGAGGGAGGGAGGAAGGGAGGAGGGAGGGAGGGAGAGACAGGGAGAGAGAGACAGGGAGAGGGAGAGAGAGGGGGAGAGAGGGAGAGAGAGGGAGAGAGAGAGAGAGAGGAGAGAGAGAACGATTGGTCCTAAGTGAGTGCGTGAATGGGCGAGGGAGGGAGTTTGTCTGTGAGTAGAGGCTGTGATTAGGAAGGGGAGGGACAGCCCGTTTTCTGACAGGCTGCTTTCCTTCTGCTCACTGTTCCCTCACACACACCTCTCTTCAGATATCACCATTCTCGGGAGTTCTACTTTCCCTTCTGAAAGAAATCCTCCTAATTTTGTTCTACTTCCCCCCCCCTTTTTTTTTTTCTTTCTCTGCCCAGTCCCCTTGCTTCACCTTCTTCCTCTTTTGGAGGGGAAAGAAAACCCCACTGGGAGGCACTGTCCCAATCTCCTGGGATGACTAGGTTGAAACGGTCTGCCCCCAGGGCCCTCCACCCCTACGTGGCCGCAGCTCTAGGTGACCCCCCGCCCGGCCGCGGGAGGCGAGGTTTCTGGGAGTTGGGCGCACAGGTAGTGGGGGTGGGTGTCCGGGCAGAGGGCCGGGAGCCGCCGGGGCCGGTCAGCGGGGCCGGGCCACAGGGAGTCCCGGAGGTTGCCGGCTTCCCATTCATTCATATTTAAATGTTCAGGATCACCCGCTCTGGCAGGGGATCTGAGGGGAACGGAGTGGAACTTCTGTTTGGGGTCATCTCAGACACTCTACTTTTCCCAACTGCAAAATGCAGCCGGGCACTGAAGGATGCCTGGGCAATATTCTACCTGCTCCTGTCACCTGAAACTCTCTCCCTTCTCCCTGGCCGCCGCCCCCTTTCTGCCCTGCAGCGCGCGCGCGCGCCCGCGAGCGAGCGCGCGCGCACACACACACACACACACACACACATACACACACACACTCACAGATTCACAAATTACAGCTTACCACCTCCTGCCCCGACTTCACAGATAAAGTGCAAAGTTCCTTTGGCCTTTCCCACATCATTTCCTACAAACAGTGTGCTCCTAGGGCTTCGATAACTGGTCCCAGGGGAAAAGAATCTCTAAAATATATTGGCCAATGATCTCCTCTGCCATGCGAGAGTTTTTCAGCCTGCCCCCTACCCTGTCCTGGACCAACGGGTTCCTGGACTGGCCCCTTGATGGCTCCTTTTTCCCCTCAAAGGAACAGCACAAATGAAATCATCACGGATTTCAATGTTCACAGAAAAAGAAAAATGTGAATTTTTAAACAATGCCTCTCTGAGTTTTTTTTATTCTCCCCCCCACCCTTTTTTCATTTTCTGTCTTATTGCTTTTATCATGCAGAAGTATCTTTAAGAGGTCCATCTGTTAAAGCTTTCCTTCTCTCTCGGTTTCTTTCCCACACATAAGCCCTCAGTTTCTGTAGATACAGTCGGCTTATATCTGACACCTAGTGTGTTCAGAGTATTATAGCTAAGCAATGCGCTCTGGGTGGAAAAAGTTAATAAGTATCATTCCTACAAACCTAGGATCTGAGGGCAAGGGGGGGGAGGGTGAAGAAATTGTGGCATTAAGGTAAAATTACAGTTTGCACAGATAACAATGCTTCTCTGAATCTGACACACTGTCCCCCTTTTCCAAAACAATTACTTGCAAGACTTTGTCTGTTCCAAGCCATCTATCACAGTTTGGGATTTCTCCTTCAGGAACATCAATTACTCTGCTCTTCTTCTTATGACTTGGTGGACATTCCCTAAAGAGTCTAATTTTTTTTTTTTTTTGGAGGGGATGGTGAAAGAGAATGGGGAGGGGGCATCTGCATTATAACCGGTTAATAAAACATCTTTGAAATCCAAAACTTAACATAATCTACCATATTTGGCGTCACATATACAGTACCCAAAGCATGTTGTAGTCCAATTAAATTTTACAAGAGAGTCTGAAATAAAACTCAAAGTTTAATGACTCCAAACAACTCAGAGAGTCTTAATAGCCAAATGTAGATAAGGGCAGTTTATCAATATTTGGATCCCCTCTGTCTGTGAGTGTGTGTGTGTTCCCTGAATTTACTGTTGGTGAATGTAAGTCTTAAAAACAGCTTTTTCTGTGGCATATGTACTTGTATATAAGTGGGCTGTATACACACGCCATCTATTTGCATGCTCCACTATTAAAAGCTGCATTAACCTGCCTGAATCATATCAAAAGGTACAAATCAACAACGTGCATGGAAGTGCAGTAATTAAATTCCTTCTAACCTTTCTGACTCTGCATGTGTCAAGACCTCCTAAGTAAGAGTTAAAAAGCATTACCTTTCCGGTCCTCTCTCTTTCACCAGCAGACTCTTGTATCATGTGGTAAGAGCTGTCTGAGGAGTTCCTCTTCATGGTATTGGCACTCTGAAGTTTTATACTGTACTACTTCTTTGCACACTCACACATTGGTACCACTCAAACAGAGGAGGGCTGGGGCTTTGTTTGGGATTGGTTAGAATCAGCATGACATCAGCAGATGACTGGTTTTTCCAGTGTAAGACATATTTCATAATTCATTATCTAATGGAAAGCCTTTCTTGGCTGCTGGGATACTACTTGGTGATCACTGAGCCAGTTAAACCTCTGACTGACTAGACTACCTTTTAGAAAAACCCTGGCATTGAACAGCTATAGCTCACTGAGTGTCCAGCTTCCAACTTTTACTGCTTGAGCACACACTTCTCATTATATTCAGGTTCGGTTTTATGTCTTCACATAAAACATCTGTTACTTCATGAAGTTGCCTCTATTTACAAAGTATTTTATTGTTTCTTACAGGGAAGAAAATTTGCAGTGCTCTTTATAGGGATTCTGATTTTACTTTCTAAAATAAGATCCTTCACTGAGGACAAAATAGGAAAATATGTATACCTATAGGATGATGGTCTGCCCTCCCCTGACTTACACTGTTATTTTACATCTTGACATTGAAAGTCTGCTTCATAAATCATGTATCACCAAGAAGTTTGAAAATACTCATTCTCTGCTAGTGAACTTTATAAATATCCTCCCCAAGCCTTTAGAATCACAATCCAACTAGCAGAGAAAGAAAGCAAGCTCACACATCATTCTTTTTTATCAGAACTTCAAGTCCTATGATTTCTAAATTGTTACAAATATAACATGAGATTAATGAAAAGAAACAAACTTTCTTTGGAATAGGAGTTAAGATGGCTAGAGTTTTTGTTGGGGGAGAGGGCGGCTAGCAAGGCTAAGAAATAACACAGTTGGAAGGAATCTTCAGAGAAGCATAGTGGGGAAGGGTTGTTTGAAGGAGTATATCTGAAGCATAAGCCGGGTACTCATGACAAGTTGAATAAAATGTGCAAAATTGGGAGCTAATGAAAGCCATATGACCAGATATGTTGTTTTGTATGCAGGATTTAACATGCATAAAATAAACTTTTCACTGTGCCCACAAGCAAAATATAGAGGCTCTGGCCTCCTGATGTGTAGTTTAAGGAGGTTCCTTTAGGACACCAGAAGTTTGCTGTGTAGGAGGGTCTGCCTTGGCTAAACACAGAGAGAGTGTGGATGGTGAGCTGTACATTGGGGTGGGGGGGTATTCTAAGAACTGCATAAGCAGAAATAAAGTAAGAAATTAAATCATTAGGCTGTAGAAGAACAGAGGGAGTCTGGGAAGGAAAGACAGAAACAAGATCAGTGCTGGTTAACTCCAAAACTGCCTGCCCATCAGTTTGGAATCAGAGGGAGGGACTCAACCCCTATGTAAGAAAGGAACTTCACCAGCCTTTTTGATGAGCACTCCTGGACAGCCCTGGCCTGCAGGGCCTCTGAACCCACCCCTCTCCCAGGCATGAGCCCCGGTGTCCTGGAAATACCATCGTGTTTATGACTTTGGGGGTGCAAAACAAACCCAGATCAGACCCTGGCTCCGCTGCTCACTAACCATATAACCTCGGAACTCCGTGTCCTGGTCTATAAAGTGGGAAGGGCAATACTCAACTGCAGGGTCAAAGGCGTGCTCAGAAAACAATAGGTGATATTCTTTGTGAGCTGCCTGGTGGCTCCTTGTCCACATTTGTGTCCCAGAAATTTGCAGAGCCCCGACTAGAGGCGGAACCCTATACGTGTGTGACTCAGATCGAGTTGGCCACCGGATGCCACTGAGGTGCCCACCTACCAGGTCAGCCCACCAGCAGTGATGTCAGTCTCTACCTGAATCCCCAGCCTCAGGGCTGAGCCACACTGGAAATGCCTCCTCACTCAGTGGAAATTAAGGTGGGGGTGGTAGAGGAAGCAGGCAGGTTAAAATAACTTCTGTCGAATATCGTGGACTGGGAATGATCTCTTCCCTTCCGAACTCAAGGGCCCAGGGGTAAGCTGGTCAGCCCAACTCCTGACCAGCCTCTACTTCTCCTGCCTCGGTTTGGTTTCTCTTTCACTTCCGGCCCCCTCCCCCAGCAGCGTCCCCACGCCCGGCCCTGCGGTCCCGCTGCTCGGCCTGCTACTGTACCTTGAGCAACACCTGCTGGCAGCTCCCGGGGATCACGCCGGAACGCGGCCGCGGCTCGAGCCCGGCTCGCGGTGCTGGAGTCCGGGCCAAGCCACTCCGAGCGGCCGCCTCTATTTTTACCCCGAGCACCAGCAAGGGCAACTTCTTTTAAGAGCAGCTCTTGAATTTTTCCCCCCTTTTGGCAGCTAAAGAATTCAGAGAGGGGGAGAAAAAAAAAAATCACTATTCAGTGAGTGCCGCTGGGAATCTCTGAACCCAGCCCTCGGTGCCAGGGTCGAAAACACGGCCAGTGTCAGGGACCGGGACGCGGACCCGCGGGGCCGGCTCCAGCGCGGACAGAGGCGCGCCAGGAGCGCTCACGCCCCACGAGCTGTCCCCTTGCCGAGTGTGGAGTTGGGTCCTACCCGCTTCTGCGCTAGCACGGTGGCCCGCTGCCACCGCGTTTTTCACCTAGTGCAGGCGGCCTGATTTACTGGCGACTTCACAAAGCTCCCAACTACTCGCTGGAGCGTTTGCAGGGCTCTGTTCTCGCCTCGAGGAGCAGCCCCTGGAGAACCCGGTGGAGCAGCTTGCTGCGAGAAGGAGCCGGGAGGGAAACTGTGGTACCTTATTTTACTGTAATTGCAAAAGGCACGATGTGCCAGAGATTTATATTTAGACGTTGTATGTTTCTACTTTTATGTAAATGGAGCAATTAGGGCCTGTCTTGCTGCTGCGAACTCCAGGGCTTGTGCCTTGCTGGGGAGCTGGTGTTTTCAATCACAATTAGTGAGCTGGTCAAAAAACAAAGTTCATTTAAGGATAAGAGCTCAGGGGTGGGAAGGGAGGAGAGACCAGCGTCGCCCGTGCCTCCCTGTGGCCTGTGGTGACACACACCTTAAGGCACGGCTAACTTATAGCGGTGTTTACCCGTGGCAGCAGCTGTCCCCGTACAAAGTTGGCATAGATCAAGAAGCAAGAATGTTCATTTTTCTTCTCAGGCAAACCGTATGTCCTTCGGCTTTCATCCATGCTATTAATTGGTCTCTTCGCTCACTACTCCTGGAACAAGGAGACAGGCCTAGAAAAGGGGGCCGTTGTTCATGGCCCTCTTATTTTCACTGAGGCTCTTGCATTGCTGTTATGCAGTGAAAAATACAGGCCAGGGGACGTGAACGCCCCAAGCAGGTGACCGGCAAGTTGTCGGTCGCCTGATTCAGCTGAAATGGCACGAGGCTGGGGGTTCGGAGCACGGACTCTGCTGCTGACGACTCAGGGTGTTTTAGTTCCTTCTTATGAAAAATCTGTTTCCAAAAAAGCATGATTTCTGGTTCATCCCGTCTGGGAAAGGGAACATAAAACGTGACTACGGAGAGAAATCAAAAGGACTCGAGGTGTTCTCAGCAGCTGCCGTGTTATTCTGGGCTCAAGGCAGGAAAGCCTTGCCTCCGTGGGGAGCGGTGACTCCCTCGAGAGGCAGCTCGGAATCCAGAAAACGTGGGCAGGATCCAGAGTGATATTTGCTGCAGTGAGATCAGGAGTCTCATCAAATGGTTGAGATGGGTTACAGGATTGGCAAGCCCTGCCTGTTTCCTGGCCAGCCAGAGCCTGCCCATGGCCTGGGCTGCAGGTAGGTTAGCTAGAGAGATTGGCGACAAAGAAGGATCAGCACTCCGCATTCACAGTTGAACTGGGAAGCTGTTTGCTTTTAAGTTAAATCAAACAGCCAACACAGCCAAACAGAGAGGGAGAAGGAAACATTAAAATTCCTCCAAAACTCATTAGAAAACAACAGGGTCAGAAATAGTTAATCCAAAACCCAATTCCTAAACCTCATGTTTCTCTGAGAACCACCGGAATATCCCACAAAGCCTTGTGCTGGGTATAGCTGCTCTATTTGCAGAGTATTTGGAAATGCCTTATCTAAACCGAGGGAACCCTGATGCTACAACTAAAATGATTAGGGAAATAAAAGAAGAAGAAGGAAAAAAAAAAAAGTAAACTGTTATCCTTCAGTCTACAGCAGTGGTTCTCAACTGGGATGATTTTCCTCCCCAGGAGACATTTGGCAATGTTTGAACACATTTTTGCCTGACGTAATTGGGAAGGAAAGTTCTACTGGCATCTAGTGGGTAGAGACCAGGGATGCTGCTCAACATCCTGCAATGCAGAGATCAGCCCCCAATAACGGAGAAGTTACCTGGCCCCAAATGGTAATTGTTCTGCAAGTAAGAAACCCTGATCCAGAGTTATAATTTTCCATTTTCACCTAATTCCCTTCCTACGCATGCTCTAAGGGGCCTTGGCAACTATGCAAAATCTTAATTTCAGTGATTCTGCCTCCTCATGTGTCTTGTGCTTCCCAATTAATGGAGGCCCACACCCCACAGAGATACTGACACAGAAAGAGTACCTCTGGGGCAATGTTGTTGCCACCCCAACTAACTGTCCAGTGTGGCCTCTAGACATTTCCTGCTGCCTTTGTGTTTGAACCAAAAACAGAACCTTGGTGACCAGCAGCGAAATGAGATGGAGCTGGCCCACGCCCAACCTGTTAGGAGGCAAGAGACTCCTGGAGAAGAGTTAAGTGAACGAAGAATGAGTTGTTCATTTTAGCAATTCAGTATCAGATAAATCCACGCAATAGAGAATTCCCTGAAGTAAAATTCACACAAGTGAGATTACTGTGCCTTTCTCCCCGAGCAAACAAATATGATGGAGCTTGGTTTTATTTGTTTAATACCTTAGGGGAATGACACACAGTCAATATCCAAAGAGATAAAACAGAATGCTTTCCTAAATCCTAACTCATGTTCCAAGCAAGCTTATATTCTCTGAACTTCCCTATCAAAAGGAAGGGGTATTGACTATTTAAGGAAGTCCATGCATGACCCTTCAGGTGGGGCTTTCCTTAAGGCCCGGAGGGAATGGGGTGCAGGATCCCGTGTCTCGGAAAATCATCATCATCATCATCATCATCATCATCATCATCATCATCAACAACAACAAATGTTGCTGAGACCCACAAGAGGGAACTTGCCCAGATCAAACTTGCTTAGAAGTGAAATGCTGTTCTCCACATGATGAGGCCAACTTCCCTGGCTCATGTCTTAGTCCCGGAGCGACTGCGATCATCCCGAAAGGAGAGGGTCAGTCAGAGATTGTTTTAAGATGAAGAGACACCCTTGAGCGGAATATCTTAGACACCCCTATGCCATTTCATCAAGTCCAACATGTGAATCACAGTCTCCTCAGGTAGACGGTTATTTTGGAACCAGAGGCCCCAATCCAAATGATTCAGAAATGCCTGGATTTCTTCCCAAGAAGTAACCATTTAGTACTTAGGAAAAACTCAATATATAGAGAGAAATAATCAGTTATAACCCCTACCAAAAAAAAAAAAAAAACATATATTGAAAAAAAAACCACTCTCATTAATACAAACTGAATAAATATGCATGCAAAGTCCTTCCCGACCAACATATATTTCCAAATTGTTTAGCATAACTCAGTTCTAATCCAAATGGAAAACCTCTTCTACAGTGGTAGGTCTTCCTATTGCCCCAGAAGAGTATGAAAAATACTCACAAGAGACCATGTAATGGATTGTTGAAGTCAATTCTCTCACCTGGATCCCCTCGGGGAGTAACTTCCATGGTGCTATCTTGAGGACATATATGTTTAGCATAGAAATTCCACTGGACCCATCAGAGCAGGAAACTTGGTTCTAATCCAGCTTCACCTATCCACAAAGATATCCCCACAACCTGTTCCCAAATTGTAGCTTCAGAGGGGAAGAAGCAGAAAAGGCTGGGGACAGTTTTTTGTGTGTATTTTTTTTTTTTTAATCAGTGAATTGCTGCATCCCTCGTGTGCTGATAGAAATAGTCCAAAGGTTCTGCGCCTCTGTGGGAGCACCTCCGTGGCACGTCCACACCCGCACGACAGGAGCGCCGCTGTTCCGGTCACTGTGTACTTTCGTGCACACTGACAGTGCGTTCTGGCACTGGTTCAGCGCGGTTAGTAAATATTTCCAGATGCCTCGCTCTCATTTTAGGAAGGTCAAGTTTGCAAAGGTGAGCTAGCAAGCAGGACCTCTGTAAGCCTTTATCAGCTTGGAAAAGCAAACCGTAAGCACAATGTTCTGACAGTTGAGAACCTCTGGATTCTACAACTCATCCTTAACTTTCAAAAATAACAGATGACCACCGTCCTTTTCTGAATACTCACAGAGTTCCTTCTTAGGGGTGAGACAGAATGATGCAGGAAGGAAGAGCCATTATACTAGAAGGAAAACAGCTTCAGAAACCCTCTCTCCCAAAGAGCAGGGGTCAATTTGGGATCACCTAATGAACAGGGGCAGCAAGCCAATCATGTCATGTGGCCAACTCCAACATGATTTAACTGTGAAATGAGAAAAATTAAAATGGTGCTCCCTGTAGAAAAGAGTTCACCCAGTAAGTTCCCCAAATTTCAAGGAACTTTTGTTTTATTAGATGCTCTTAGCTTCATGTTAGTCACAGGGAAAAAAAAAATGCCCACATACACACGCACGACTAAATGTAGTCAGTTTGCTCAGCTGTTGCTGACGTCACTGCTGCCCACTAGGAATGAGTTACTGTAATAATCCCCCTTTTATTAATCATAGGCTGGAGGAAGCAAAAAGTGGGTGACATCATTAGGCAAAAGACCGGGCTAACTCATGCTCCAATTTACTCAGCTTTATTATAACATTTCTCAAGTGTCATATGAAAGCGATTACCATTTCACACTTTCCCCCTCTGAGCCATCATCCCTAACCTTCAATCCAAACTCCCATAGAAGAGCTTAGCTTTCAGATGGCGGCACGTAAAGGCCAAATCTCACCAAGGGTCCTTGTTCCAAGAAGGAAGGTCCTCCCCAGAAACAGCTTCTTCCTTGGTTTAAGAGGGAGGCGGTCTCTGGAACCACAGCATCCCAAATGACCCTTGGCTTACACTGGCCCGGTGGCATCTGACTGGACAGGACAGCCCATCGTGAAGAGGACCCGAATGATCGAGGTGGATGCAGCTACCCATAGCCTCCTGGTAACCAAAGGCACAGGCTCTGCACCTCCAGGGATCTGAAATAGGAAAAACTCCATCTGAAGATGTGCCGAAAGGTCCCATTTAAGGGAGTTGGTCCTGCAGCTAGGCTGCCTGGGTTCAAATTCGGCTTCCACCACTTTCAAGCTGAAGGATGCTGGGCAAATGACCCATTGGGAGCTCAGTTCCTGACCAATGAACTCAGGTAATAATGGCACCCCCTTCAGAGGATTACGGTGATGACTCATGAGCTAAGCCCTACAAAGCACAGAGAGCATGCCTGCTACATAGTAGGTGTTACTTCTCCTTTCTCTAAAAAGTTCTGCAAATTGAACTGAACTGTCGGGGTTTCCTGCTCTGTGGAGCACAGAGAGAGGGGCAGACGAGCTATGAAAAGCCATCAGGGCAGACCGGTCCTGGGGGGACCCGGCCACACACTGGCTCCGTCGCTGGCTGGAACTCACTGGTCAGTCTACCTCTCTCTGCTCCTGTGTGCCCACCTCCGGCGTTTGTCAGATGAAGAGCCACTGACAACTCATAAGGTGACAAAACCAAAGTGACTAAAACCAAAGGAAGACTTTGGCTCAAGGATGCTCACAAGCTCAGCATCAAGCCACTGTTGCTTGTAAGACATTTTGAAAAAAATGGTCAGGCTGGTCAGCGGTCCCCACCCCTCTCTCTCTAACACACGTTCTTTGTATGAAATGTGGAAAGTAGAGATAAATATGAGATGTAAATCCCCTATAAGCATCCCTCCCAGAAATAATCATTGTTAAAAGAAAAGCATCTGCATAATGCGTATGCATCAGAGCAAACATGTTTTTACTATGGGCGGAGCAATACTTCATTCTCTTAAACTCGGGGCCCTTGAAGAAACAATATTTTTAAAGATTTGATTTATTTATTTGACAGCGAGAGAGGGAACACAGGCAGGGGGGGTGGGAGAGGGAGAAGCAGGCTTCCCGCGGAGCAGGGAGCCCGATGCGGGGCTCCATCCCAGGACCCTGGGATCATGACCTGAGCTGAAGGCAGACGCTTAACGACTGAGCCACCCAGGCGTCCCTTGCAGAAATAATTTTATAGATGTCTTCACTCATCCTTTCCTTGAAGCACCGTCCTGAGGGTATTTTAAGGCGTCAAAATAAAGCTTACTTAGGCGTGTGTGAGAGACAGAACCATAGGCCAAAAGAGAAGTCTGGGGCTTTGTAATACTTAGATGGTGATGAAACTGGCTCAGCTGAGGCCGAGTGCAATAATTATCCAGGACAATTTATTACTCAGATTCACCTTTGCTCGGTATTGAGTTACAAGCACTCTTACTAGGTGAAAGGTTTAGGCTCCCAAAATGGTCAGCTAATGCAGGAAGTTGCTGCCAGGCCACGTTACAGGGTAAGTAAAATAGTCATACAATATATAGCAACTTGAGGATCTCCAAATTGGAAGTTTCCTTTAGCCCGCAAGAAGATGCCAGGATATCTGCTGCCCCCTAACTGATACCAAGGAGAATAGCATGTACTTTTTAAGAAGCAAGGTAAGGCTCGGGGACAGTTGGTGGCTGGGTCAGCCTGTTAGGTTGTAGGTGTGAACTGGGCCACTTCCATAAACCCGTGTGTGGCCAGTAAGGCAAAGCCATTGAATAGAATCCTGTTTTGCCTCAGCCTTCTGCTGGTAAGGGGCACCCCTGGCTTCTAGCAGCCGGGGCCAGAGGGGTGACCAAACACAAGCCGTCCACACAGGGGTTTGTTAACAGTGTGACCAGAGGGAACTCTTACGGGACATTCAAAACTATATATCCTCCTTCTGGACAAATTTCTGGGAGACCCGGAAAAGGAATGTGACCACCAGGGAAGTGAGACTTTTCAAGTTAGGATCCTACTGACTTGTGGAGGGAGCATCCCTGATCCCTGATAGGTAATTGAGCTATCCAGCGTGTGGGGAGAGGCTGAGGCGCCCTCTTCTGGTGCAGGCTTTCTCATGAAAACCTGAAGGCAGCATGAAGGGGGGTGCCTTCTCTCTGATCCAGCCACTCTCCATGCAAACTTACTGCTTTTTAAATGGCATCTATCTTGATTTTTAAAAAAACACACATTCTTGTAGAAAATGTAGAAAATATAGATGAAGACAAAAGTATAAATCTCACTCATCTTCCCCAGGAATAATTAAAATTTTGATATATATATCATTTACATATACCATGTACCTACCATACATACACATATACCATATATACACCATGCTTTACATGAATATATAAAATGAAATTGCAGTCATACTGTAAACATAATTTTGTATAGTAATTTTCATTTATCATTATATGGTGATGATTTTCAACGGACCAAGTCCTTGAAACTATTAATGACTGAAGAGTAATCTCTCACATAGATGTGCCTTTATTTTTAAACCTGTCTACTATTGTTGTACATTGAATTTGTTTCCAAAATTTTACAAATTATAGTACTGCAGATAGATTTTTACTCTTTACAGTATTTCTGACCAAAAGAGAATTTACATTTTTCTGTAGACTAATCTAGGAATCTTTTACTTTATGCTGAAGCTTCTTCTCCATCAGGGAATTAAATAGATATCCATTTACATGTTTCTCTAAATGATTTTTGACATTTTATTCTTGAATCCAAAATATCTGGGCTGTACTTTGGCATGCAGAACAAGGAAGAGCTATAACGTCAATTTTTTTTTCAAAGCTTTAATCAGAATCATTTATTGATTTCCTTTTATGGAATGCCATTTTTACGACCTATTGACTGTGTACAAATATAAACAGTACACTTCATTCCATCAATCTAGCTGTTGCTGAGCTTTCTATTCCATTCCATTCACATCTCTTTCCGATTTTAATGTTGTTCTTTTAACTTTATTTTATTTTTATGTTTATGTTGTACACTACACCCCCAGGACTTATTTATCTTGTAACTGGGAGTTTGTACCTTTAAACCATCTTTACCCACCTTACACACTCCCTACCCTCCACCTCTGACAACCACCAGTCTGTGTTCTCTGTATCTGTGAGTTAATATTTTTTAGATTCCACGTATAAGTGAGATCATACGGTACTTGTCTTCCTCTGTCTGATTTACTTTGCATTGCATCATGTCCTCAAGGTTCATCCATGTTGTTTGCAAATGGCAGAATTTCCTTCTTTTTCATGGCTGAATAATATTCCATTTTATCTATAGACTGCATTTTCTTTGCCCATTTATCAGTCAGTGAACACTTAGGTTGTTTCTATGTCGAGGCTATTGTGAAGAATGATACAACGAACACAGAGGTGCAATATCTTTTTGAGATAGTTGATTTTTATTTCCTTCAGTTTTATACCCAGAAGTGGGACTGCTGGATCATATGGTAGTTCTACTTTTAATTTTTTGAGGAACCTCCATACTATTTTCCACGTTGGCTGCACCAATTTACATTCCCACCCACAGTGAAGGGTTCCTTTTTTGCCACATCTTGGCCAACACTTGTTATCTTTTGTCCTTTTGATAATAGCCAATCTAACAGGTATGAGGTCATGTCCCATTGTGGTTTTGATTTGCTCTTCCCTGATGACTAGTGATATTGAGCACCTTTTCATATACCTCTTGGACATCTGGATGTCTTTGGAAAAATGTCTCTTCAGCTCTTCTGCCCATTTTTTAATCAGATTGGTCTTTGTTATTACGGAGTTGTATGGCTTCTTTACATATTTTGCTTATTAACCCTTATCAGATATGTGGTTTGCAAATATTTTGTCCCATTCATTTAGTTGATTGTTTCCTTTGCTGTGCAGAAGCTTTTTAGTTTGATGTGGCCCCACTCATTTATTTTTGCTTCTGTTGACTTTGCTTTTGATGTCAGATCCAAAAATTCATCACCAAAAGTGATGTCAAGGAGCTTACCATCTATGTTTTCTTCTAGGAGTTTTATA